GGCAGAAATCACGCTCAAAAGGCCGATAGTTTAGGTAATTTCTTTTTACAGTGAAAATAATGGTATTTTAAAAAAAGTAAATAACATAAGCACTGCTTTATAGTTAGTTCAGTTAGTATGCAAAATTTCATGATCTTATTTAAAGTATTTTATGAATAACAGCGGTTTATTGTTTATTTTGGAGGTAACTGTGGATTTTTTTTTCTATCGAGAAAATTTTACGAAATCGTGTTTTCGTCTAACATAATCACTAACATTAATCCTCAACTTTACCATATATTTATTTCAAAATTAATGCTGCAATATTTTCGGCATAACGAAGGATCTTGCTAAGCCATTTGACATTATATTTCCCCTTAAGCTGACTCTTTAACTATGGGGATTATATGTCTTAGTCGTCATTGGCAGAATCGACGACGCAGTTTTATTTAAATAGGATAATGGTGACAATGAGCACACACTCCACATGTTGGTAAGTGGACGCTGTAGCCCATAGACATCTAAATTTATCCTCCATTAAGAATCAAAACGCAGGTGCGTTGTCACCCCTAAGGACTAAGATAAATGCTTCGTTTCCCGTAAAAAAAGGTCTCCGGATCTCTACACTCACCTTACCAAACACAGCAGTAATAAGCTGCTATTTCACGCTGGTATTCTGTGAGATCGTGGTCCTTCGTAGTTCGAATCGACCCATTCGTGTTACAACCATTATATATAGCTGCAGCGTGGCTCTATGACGTATAAAACGCAGTACCAGACGTTCCGCACCTTCGAAGCTGCTTTCCGTTGTCAGTCTGAGTGTATTACACCTAATCTAGGCCATCTATTGGAAACCATAAGATATTTCTTGCATAACACATAGTCGTCTCAGATGACACTCATGGGATGAAATGGAGTGATGAATTCAATGAATCCGCCACCACACGACGTTGCTATAAAATTATGGATTATAGAGAAACTGAATTATAAAACGTAGTAGTAGAGCAATATGTAGCTAGCTATATTATGGTTGTAGCACGAATGGGTTGACTCGACCAGAGAAGGACCACGCTCTCATAGAACACTAGCGTGAAATAGCTATTTTACGCAGCCATTTTTTTGTGAGCGTGATCTGTACTCTGTCGAACCGACTCAGTTTGCTGCTACGTTAATACAACTTTAGTGTGGCTTTACCACGCAGAAAAACTCTGCTGGTATTCCTTTTATTTGTAAATTATAGCCTTTTAAAATAATGACAGAGACGTGGTAGCTCAGATGGTTAGAGCTCGCTGTAAATTTCACAGTACGCGAGCAAACCGGGTTCGATCCCCGCCGGCACCAATGAAATTGTTAATTGCAATTTTAAGTGCTGATTTACCACGTGCTCGGCGGTGAAGGAAAACATCGTGAGGAAACCTGCATGTCAGAGAAATAAGAAAAGAAAATTTTTCGAAGACATGTGAAGTTCGCCAAACACGCATTGGGGCAGCGCGGCGGACAATTCCTTGCCCTAAAACCCTCTCAGAAATGAGCGGAGGCCTGTGCCCAGCAGTGGGACGGATATAGGCTGTAACTTTACTTTTTTTTCTTTTTATATAAAGATTTAATATATTATAATCGAATTATGTTACTTGACGTCGTACGTAGTATTTAATGAAATTCGATATCATTTATTATATATGTGTTTGTCTGTCCCAAGGAGGTGTCGGATTTATCATCCACAAGTCTCTCGTCAACAACGTTATAAAGATTGGGAGTGTGTCGACGAGGGTCACGTACCTGATACTCAGAATCATCAAACGGTATTCGCGGAAGGTCATACAGGTCGATGAGGAGGTGGAGGAAATGTATGAGGATATTTCCAAAGCCATGCATTCCTCCAAAACCCACTACACGGTGTTGATGGGAGATATCAACGCAAAACTAGGCACAAGAGAAAACGGTGAGCTGAAGTTAGGGAAATTTGGAGTAGGCCAACGGAACCGAAGGGGCCAGCAGCTGGCTGACTTTATGGAGAAAGAGGGACTCTTTATGATGAACTCTTTCTTCCAGAAGCGGCCCCACAGGAAGTGGACCTGGTCGAGCCCCGACGGTGAAATGAGATTGACTTCATTATGACGACCAGACGCCAATTGTTCAGTGATGTCTCAGTGATCGCAAGGGTGAAAACTGGCAGCGATCACCGAATGGTTAGAGGTACACTGAACCTAAACGTTAAGTTGGAGAGGTCTCGTCTAATGAAGTCAACGCTCCGTCCCCCTCATGCTCTAGTCCAGAATCCCGAAAACTTTCAGCTCGAGTTACGTAACCGCTTTCAGTGCCTACAATATTGCAATGCAGTGGACGATATGAATGACAAGCTCGTAAAAACTGTCCATGCGGTCGGAGCTAAGTTCTGCAAGACCCGCCGCAGAAGAACACAAAAACTCTCCGCTCACACTCTTAATCTCATGGCTGTTAGACGGGAGATAAGGCTGCAATCGTCAACAGATTTGACAGCATACGGGCAACTGAGACTTATGCAACTTTAATACTGCTCGTATTAAAGAAACGATCGAGCGGAACCAGGGCTCCAAAGTCTTTGCCAGAGATCTGTCTGGCAGTAAGAGCCAACTGTCAGAGCTTAAGACTGAGTATTGCAGCATCGTTTCCGGAACACCTGAGATTTTGAGTGAGATTGAGAGGTTCTATGAGCAGCTGTACACATGATCGTTGGAGCCATACGCAAGTGTGTGTAACGATCCAAAAGCAAGTCTTATCCGACACTATTCCGATGATATCCCGGACGTTAGTCTAAGCGAGATTAGAATGGCTTTCCAGCACCTTAAAAACGGCAGGGCCCCAGGCGAGGATGAAATTACAGCGGAGCTTCTGAAAGTGGGTGGAACACCGGTACTTGAAGTCCTTCAGAAGCTCTTCAATTCCGTCCTCCATGGTGGCACTACTCCAGAGGCGTGGAGCAGAAGTGCGGTGGTCTTGTTCTTTAAGAAAGGCGACAACGCTCTCTTGAAGAACTACTGAACAATTTCCCTTCTGAGCCGCGTCTGTTTTCGAGAGTCATTACTAATCATCTTGCACGCAGAGTCGACGACTTCCAGCCTCCCAAACAAGCCGGTTTCCGAAAAGGCTTCAGTACCATAGACCACATACATACCCTGCGGCAGATTGTACAGAAGACTGAAGAGTACAATCTGCCACTTTTCCCTGGCGTATGTGGACTATGAGAAAGCCTTTGATTCCGTCGAAATTTGGGCGGCGCTACAGTCCCTTCAGCGGTGCCAAGTTGACTGTCGGTATATCGAAGTGCTGAAGTGTTTGTACAGTAGGGCTACGATGGCTATCCGAGTACAGAACCAGTGCTCGAAACCTATCCAACTGCAGAGAGGTGTAAGACAGGGTGATGTTATATCGCCGAAACTCTTCACCGCTGCATTGGAAGACGTTTTCAAGCTACTGGATTGGAAAGGATACGGTATTAACATCAATGGCGAGTACATCACTCACCTTCGATTTGCCGACGATATAGTCCTTATGTCAGAATCGCTAGAGGACCTTAGCACTATGCTCAATGACCTCAATGGTGTCTCCCAACGGATAGGACTTAAGATGAACATGGACAAAAAAAAGATCATGTTTAATGTCCATGTCACACCTATGCCGGTAGTTGTTGGGAGCACTATGCTCGAAGTTGTTGACGAGTACGTTTACCTAGGACAAATAGTCCGACTAGGTAAGTCCAACTTCGACCGAGAGGTCAATCGACGGATTCAACTCGGCTGGGCAGCGTTCGGGAAATTACGACACATCTTCTCGTCAGGTATACCTCAATCTCTAAAAACTAGATTGTACAACCAGTGCGTGTTGCCAGTGATGACTTACGGATCTGAGACGTGATCCTTCATTGCTGGCCGTATTAGGACGCTAAACGTCGCTCAGTGAGCTATGGAGAGGGCTATGCTCGGAGTTTCTCTGCGTGATAGACTCAGAAATGAGGATATCCGCAGTAAAACCATAGTGACCGACATAGCCCAACGGATTAGTAAGCTGAAGTGGCAATGGGCCGGCCATATAGCTCGAAGAACCGATAACCGATGGGGAAGAAAGGTTCTCGAGTGGCAGCCTCGTACCGGTAGGCGTAGTGTAGGGCGACCCCCCACTAGATGGAGTGACGACCTGGTAAGATATGCAGGAAGTCGATGGATGCAGGTGGCTCAGGACCGTGCTTTGTGGCATTACTTGGGGGAGGCCTATGTTCAGCAGTGGACTTGTGAAGGGCTGTAATGATGATGATGATGATGATGATGCGTTTGTCTAAAGTGAGTTAAATAATACACCAAAATCAGTACCGACATGAATATATTAATGCAATAAATAAAAATAAAAACTTATACATATAATGTCTGGTTTAATTGCTAATATTTCGTTTCGTTAATATTTTCTATATATACTCCACAAAATCTGAACTAAGTTATAATACTGTTTAGCTTAAATGAGGAATAAGTAAAGTTACACTGTATACTTATGCACTTACTGGGGTTTCCAACTATTTTGCGGCCTCAAAAGATTATGAATCTTATAAAAAGGACTAGTCTTTTTTACCCGGGTTAAAAATCGATGCAATTTAAGTAAAATTTTGAATGATATTGACGTTGCAACTATACTTTGTTACAGACTTTACTGCTCGCTATGTATCTTTATCGCACAGATGGCAAAGCTAGCATATACTTTGGCAGAGAATAAATACGTATATACGTATTGCCTTTCATATAATATACGTATAGTATTGGTTTTACTAATACATTTATGTAAAACAATTATGAAGTTTTTATGCGTCAAGTAAACTGAAAATTAAAATAAATCTTAATACAAATAACAAATGTTTAAAAAAATGCAATAATTTTAATAACATCAAATATTTATTTATAGATAAATTCTGAATTGAGATTGCTATATCATATTTCACAAAGTAACACACGTCCAAATGCACCTCACTTTTATTGTAATGGTAAAAACAACCAGTTCTAAACAGCACTTTCCCTTTGCAATGTTAGCGTGACATCAGGAGGTGGGACCCACTCGTGTGAAGTGTGTGCACAGTGGCATTCTACAAGTGAGGGATTGTCTGGCTCTTCTGAACAATCACTGCTGTTCGATCTTAGACTGCACGACGGATGCACGTGGATATCTGTATAACAACAAAGATATTAAATATTTTTATAGATATCAGGATGACAAACTAGCACACAGTTCACTTGCTGATAACGTGGTCTAAATAGCTCGCTGCATATTGGACTCTTCCTACCCTTCTTGGAGATTACAGGCAAGTTCTCTTGATAAAGTTATCTATTTGAGATAATCTGTAGAGCACAATCAGTACAGTACAATCTTACACGTGTCCCAATACGTATTTTGTCATATTTTTATCGTTTATGTATCTACTATTAAATTTATAAACATTTTACAAACATTAACCTATGTGGCTAGGTTTGTTTTATAGACGACAAAAATTTTATTAAATGTTGATGGCTGCGTTTCCTATAGTGAGTATAGAAACCGGAGACCCTTTTTTCAAGTAACGGGGCAATCCATCTTAGTCCTCAGGGGAGACAACGCATCTGCATTTTGATTCTTATATCAAGGATAGATGCAGTTGTTTTGTCACCCTAATTACGTAAAAAAAGCTGTTTTCTTTAAAGCGCTTTTTTTACGTAATTAAATAACCTATATATATATATGTATATATATATATATATATATATATATATATATATATATATATACTCTTATAGAATAAAGATAAAATATGACAAAGGAGTAAATTCAATTTTATGACTGACATACCTGAGAAGACTGCGTAGTATGAAAAAATATTTTCCTTATTATTCCCAACAATTTATTTTATATATGCTTTAAATTACTAACATAAAGTTACCTCCAGTACGATTGAGATAGTCTCGTGTGACGTCATCGAGTTGCAGTACTTGTATGACAGGCACCTGTGCCTTCTTTCGCGACCTTCTAGCGAGGCGAATCGCTAGAACTGTCGAACACGCGAACATTATCACCAATAACACTACACCGATACATATAACCGCGTCCTTTTCAGTTAAAACTGCAATAAAATAAAAGCGTGATACATTACGTTATATTATCACGAATTTTAAAACAGCCAGTAAAGAGTTTACATCAAGCCATCATAGGCCTGTTATTATTTGAGAAGCTGTGTTGTAATTTGTAATCAATAAGCGAGCCGTGCAAGGGCAGCGTATGAGATTTCTCAATCTATTTCGTCCCGTAGGTGTCGTAACAGTTAAATTTTGGTAAGGTCATAAGCACCTCATAAGAAGATCAAGTACAGTTACAGTTTATATACCTCCTACTGCTGGGCACAGGTCTCTCATATCTGAGAAGATTTTTAAAGGTAAGGGAATTTCTACCGCGCAGCCCCAATGCATGTTAACAGACTTCAATGCCGATGCCTTCGATATTTTTTTTAAATTACATAAAAGTTTAAGCTCGCATCGAGAAAAACTTTTACGTACTTCCCCGCCGAGCACCTGAAAACACTTTAAATTAATATTATTATCTTGTTGCCGCTTGAGATCAAACTCGGGTTGCTCGCGTACTGTAATATTTATAGCGAGCTTTTAGAATTTGAGCTACTTCGGCCCAATCTCGTATATGCCAGATGTAAAATATTCAGACCAGCAAAGAGCAGCAGCGTTAAAGGTTCAAGCAGGGAAATATCTAGCAGCTAGCTTTCAGACTGATAAAGAACATGCGGAAAGCTTGATAAGACATTATAAAAGCTTCCAACAAGTTTCTTTGCAAAAAAAGTTCGTGTACATTTTAGTAAAGCATTGCAAGTGTGAATTAACTATTTATTTCCTAAAGAAAGGTTCTATCGTCACATATTTTCCTTATTTATCATAGTAAAGATTAACATATGGAAAGTAGTGCAGCAAAAATGAACTAATAGTGAGAAAAAATGTAACTAAGTTCAAATAAGCCAAAATTACATACATATATATAAAATAATACAGACGTAAACAAATACAAAAATCTACTTAAATACGTACAATATACAGGTTGTAACATATTAAACGCAAGCCCTTTCGTGGGGTTGCTCAGACCATCAAATTGAACAAATTTGACTACGGGACCACCTTCGAAATAAAATAAAAAAATAAGCGATTTCATACAAAATGTCAACGGCCGTTTCACACGAATGTGATAAAAATGAGCTTTCGTTTAATATGTTACACCTTGTATATTGTATTTATTTAAGTAGATTTATGTATTTGTTTACGTCTGTATTAATATATGTAAATTATTATATTATGTACATTTTTGCTGCACTACTTCCCATATGCCTTAAGGCATTAAGTCCGTCATATTTACGATTTTATTTTTTGTGCATAAAAGTTTAAATAAATAAATTGTACATACATTTCCACCACGGAGATGCAGCAGCACTTAGTAGATTTTCCGTGGGTCTCAAAAGCAAGGCCCCGGAACATCCGTAGCGGTTACATGCAGCCGCCCCAGCTTCATCACCTGTGTTAAGTAGCCCCAATGCTCCCCTGACGAGCCACGGCTCATCACCATTTTGCGTTAATGCAAGACTATTGCCTACTTCTACAGACTTCTTTCGATCCAAGACCAAGGAAGTGTTGGTTTTCGATAAACGCCAGAGAGATAATTCATAATGGGTGGCGTTTTCCACTAAAAATATAACATTAACTTGTAGCAAATATGCTCGTACCCATATCGACAAGTGGTAAAATTAAAAAAAATGCAATATAAATAAAATGAGAACATCATTAATGTAGATGAAGTCAATTAAATGGGGATATAGTAAGTCAGCTCAAATTCTAATTTCGCCCCCACTTCCCCGCGCATCGTATGCTATGTAACGACATGTTTGTAATTACTAATACTGTATGTAGATAGGTCGTTAGATACGTATTTCATTAGGTTTATCACATTTATGCCTGTTTCTTAACGCCAACCCAGTCGCTTCTTATTTTTATCACGGTTATTTCAAATTTTAATTTTACGACGTCCTGTTGCGTAATGTTGTGTATTCTGATCGTAAGCGACACAACTTCTCCCTTCAAAAGCCTAAGCGATACTAACGGGGCGACAGGAATCAAGCTTCAAGACGCCGATAGTTTAGGTAATTTCTTTTTACAGTGAAAATAATGGTATTTAAAAAAAAGTAAATAACATAAGCACTGCTTTATAGTTAGTTCAGTTAGTATGCAAAGTTGCATGGTCTTATTTAAAGTATTTTATGGATAACAGCGGTTTATTGTTCAGTTTGGAGGTAACTTTGGATTTTTTTCTATCGAGAAAATTTTACGGAATCGTGTTTTCGTCTAACATAGTCCTTAACATTAATCCTCAACTTTACCATATATTTATTTCAAAATTAATGCTGCAATACTTTCGACATAACGAAGGATCTTGCTAAGCCATTTGAGTTATATTTCCTCTTAAGGATAACTCAAAAACTACTGGTCAGATCTTAAACAAATTTATATGGGACTACATGAAAAACATCAGCTTTTAAATAGAAACTTAAAAAGTTATGAGGTAATACACATGAAGAAATACAGTCGAATAACAACATTTTTAGTACGAATTTAACCTTAAATTAATCTTGATATGTAAATAATTTATAATACAAACTTATTTTTATAAAATATTTAAATTAAAATCATTTTCCCTGGGAAAAGAATAATGCCACATTAGTTAATACATTCTATGTATTAAATAATGTGGCAAGTTTTAGATCTAAGATAATCATCAAAGATGTTTTATAAACATTTCGATCCCTCAATAAAAATCATCAAGTTTTCCGTATGAAATATCTCTCTCTCTCTCTCTCTCTCTCTCTGCTCGTCAAGTTTCAATGCAATCAGTTCACCCTTCCAAAAACTAGACCGGACAGACATACAATATTTTTTCTATAATTATTCTTTTTTATAGAATAAGGGTGACAAACGAGCACACAGTCCACCTGATGGTAAGTAGACGCTGTAGCTCTTAGACATCTACATTTATCCTCGATTAAGAATCGCAGATGAGTTGTCACCCCTGAGGACTAAGATGGAATGCCTCGTTTCCAGTAAAAATGGTCTCCGGATACCGGTCTCTACACTCACCATACGAAAAACAGTAGCATTAAGTATAATGTGAGATCGTCCTTCCCCGGTTAGGCCGACCCATTCGTGCTACAACCATAACATAAGTGCAGAATAATTTTATACATGGCATTTCTATTTAAAAAAGTTCCGAGGTAACATACATTAAAATAATTCTATTTTATTCTAAGTATTCTTGTCATAATGACATACAAGTAACTGCCTAACCTCAACAAAGGCATATTTCGATATTACAGACGGACAATTCAATTTTATTTTTATGTATACTAACGATCCGACCCGGATTCGCACGGGTGATTTCTGCATCACCATAACAGCGCCACCTATCGGGCCCAAATGTAGATTTAAATTATTTAAGGACCCATTGAAACACACACAAAAAAATTTTATCAAAATCGGTTGGATAGTTTCAAAGTCTATCACGGACATAAGTAGAAACATATTTGTGTTTTATATGGATAGATAGATTATAGATATAAAGAAGATAATTCAATAATATTAATTTACCTGGAATACATCTAATCTGAAACTCTTTGTACTCGAAGGCAAGATCACACTGTTGTGGTTGTGGGGGTCTTAAGTGTCCTAAACTTATAATTTTAGTACACGATTTGTATTGCGAAGCGATACCATTCTCGGCTTCACAACTAACGTTTAAGTTTTCTGAAAGGGGTCCAGCTACATGGTCTAAGGACAACGAAGATGAACCGGTAGTCAAATGTTGTATATCGTGATCTATCTGCTGGATATGCCAGAAATACGTATCAGGTACAGGTAAGCCCTTAACATTACAATTCAAGGTTTCCTTATCGAGTGTGATGCCAGGTTTTTTGCATTCTGGTGGATCTGTAAGGTTTTGTAAACTTTATTAAATTATACTTAAAATAAACTGTTTGATAACAAAATAAGAATTATCTCCTTTTTCTTTTTTCTTTTTCGTTATCGGCCAGTGACAATCCATAGCGGGAAATGAGCCTCTTCAATTGTAAAAAAATCGCCTCGCTTAGTGACTGGCAATTGGCCAGATGTCCTGTACCATTCACTGATTTGGGAAGGTCTTTCTTTTTTTACACCACCCACGTGTCGAAATAGACAGATTATATCACCACGGAAAATATAATTAAAAATATATTGTTAGTGTAAAAAGTAAGAATATAACGTGATTTTTAACTAAAAATTTAGATGTAAACTTATGTCATAATACAATATAGAATGTTATTACTCACAAAGGACAATAATACTGATAGGATCTGCTCTTGTTTCACCGATTGTATTACTTGCTGCACAAGCGTACTGGCCGGCATGTCTTCTTGATACTTCATCAATAAATAATTCGTTTGTGGAAATGTCATCACCCCACATGCCACCTGGTTTTATCTTCATATCCTAACAGCAAATAATAAAAGCCAATAAAAAATTAAAAACAAATTGATTTCTATACAGTGGTGTTGGATGACCATCCCATCGGGCAACGAGAATGAGGGAATAGAGAGTGCATCTGCGCTTTCGCACACACAACCGGTAAAAGTAAGCTGCTGAACATGAGCCCTTCTTCAGCCGTTGTATGGAGAATTTACCTTAAACTTTACACTTGGTGGACAGATTCACGATCTCAGTAACAGACATCTCACAATCTTGATACCTCGGCGTAAGCGGTTCTCTCTCTCTCTACCCTTTAACTCTAACCTCTTACAGTTCTTGCAATTCATGAGTGCGGTTGACCTATGGATACACAGTGTGACAATTTGCTCGCGACTGACCACTTCGTCAGGCACGTACACTGTCATAGTTTGCATGTACATCATGTACATGTACATGTACGTGTCACTTACGTCACGAAATGTAATAGATTTTTTCATAGATCTAGTATCAACTCCACAGATTGGGCTTATGAGTAAAAGAGAGCTACCGCGCCTTACTGTACTTTTGTGTATTAGAAAGAGAAAGCGAGTGAAGCTGTCAGCGAGACTAAACACATTTAGCTACCGGTACATAACGGCCCAGTAAACTGTGCGCAAATACATTTTAGCAATTTCATAAATGATCTTAGGTGGTAACTAGTTAACATATGTGTATAATACGATAGTTTTTTTTTGTTCTGCACCAGGATGTAACTCTTCCAAAAAGTATAACTCATTCCACCAGTAAGCTTATAATCTGATATCTATAGTTTTTGCTTAATAGTGGCCACAAATTTGCCGCCTTCGAAAATTACTAAGAAAATTTTATGAAAAATTAATTTTATTTAGTATTGAGATTAACTAACACAAGATATTCAGCCATATTTGGAAAATAACAAATAGAGAAATATGAGGGCATTAATAACCTCACTGGTTAGTGATACGCTCGATTTGTTTTTGATGTCAATTTCAATCAAGCAATGTGACGGATACCTAGTAAGTTACATTTGTACAGCGAATAGTTAATTTTATTAATAATAATAGTATAAAATGTAAACGTAATAGAGACATTATTTTACTATAAAGCTTGTCTCACGATCGGTTTTTGAGGTCCTTAGATAAACAAACTCATAATGCTATTGATTCAATAAGATTATCTATATAATTAAATTTCTATTTAAAATGAGTGTTTACGAACGTGTCGAAAAACTTCGGCTTAGATTAACACAGACACCAATATTCAATAATGACAAGGACACCTACTGCACTGACATAAGGTTATATGGTTATGACAATATATGTATTATCCATTTGTTGATACTGAACAACATACTATTTGCAGATTCCATATCAATCCAAAGATAAGAGAAAAGTGGTTGCGAATGTTAAATGGATAAAATTGGACTCCGCATAAATCTATGATATGTAGCAATCACTTTCATCAATGTTGCTTTTCTAGTCAAAAAGGAAGAAAGTTAAAAAGTGGTCCTGTTCCTACTATGTGTGCAATATATATATATATATATATATATATATATATATATATATATATAGGGCAGTCAAGAAAAAGCAATAACCTTTTTAAATCATTCAGATAACCTATTTGTTACACTTGTCAAATTAAACAATAATGATAGTGTGTTCATGTTCAGTTTTCGATTTTATGAAAACTAATTTGCTGTATATAAAGCTTCTCAGAGTATAATAAATGAAATTAACTAACATTCCTCTATGAAAGCTAGTGAAATAAATAATGAAAGCTGTAACCCATTCTGCTGAAAATAGATGTTTCAAAACATATAGTTCATAAATTTGGTATTACATTTATAATAATAAAATGATATTCTTACTACATATATTAAGAGTTGTCTAGATAAAGTAATAGTATGAAAGTTGAATTTATTTCTCTTCTATTTATTAGATTATATGTTAGATTGCCCTTGCATCACATAAATCATATAAGTTATGTGAAATAAGTCTGCCTTGTCTATTTCATTTGTTTGAATTCCAGGTTGAACCGCATCTTCCTCATAGATCACCTACATATCAATGATATTGTAGTGGCAAGGAAGAGGGAAATATTAAAAATAATATTCAAATTATAGATATAATATTCCGCTCAAGACTAAAACTGCTCGGGGCAAACGGAGCAACAAGACCAAGGCGACCCCTGCCACGCTGTCCGTGAATTTCTGCAATATCAGGGGACTTCACTCTAACCTAAACGCCGTCCACTACCATCTCGAGACGGCGAGGCCGGCTCTGCTCTTTCTGACCGAGACGCAGGTGTCCTCTCCGGCTGATGTCTCGTATCTCTCCTGCCCGGGGTACAAACTGGAACACTCCTTTGTGCCTCGGGCTGGAGTTTGCGTTTACGTCAGAGAGGACATCTGTTCTCGACGCCTCGGCAGACTTGAAGGTTCGGACCTGTCCATCCTTTGGCTACGCGTAGACAGCGACGACCATCCGCGCATCTACGGGTGCCTCTATAGGTCCCATAGCGGTAATGCCGAAACAGACCGACTCTTCGACCACGTCCAAATGGCTGCAGATTCGTTGCTACAGCAGATCCCCTCCGCAGAGATCGTGATCCTCGGCGACTTTTACGCCCATCACGCCGAATGGCTCGGTTCACGTTTAACCGATCATGCGGGGAGATCTGTTCATGATTTTGCCTTGGCATATGGTCTGACACAACTGGTTACTTCGCCTACGCGGATTCCAGATGTGGAGGATCATGCACCTTCCCTGTTGGACCTTCTGCTGACCTCTCACCCGGACGGATATCAGATTTCCGTCGACGCCCCTTTAGGCTCCTCGGACCATTGTCTTGTCCGGAGTGTGGTGCCACTCACGCTGAAATCGCGGTTGCATTCTGCAGGCTGCCGCCGTGTTTGGCACTATAGGTCAGCCGATTGGGATGGGATGCGGTCTTTCTTTGCATCCTACCCTTGGGGGCGGGTTTGCTTCTCGCCGGATGATCCTAACGTTGTTGCGGATTCTGTCGCTGATGTGGTACTTCAGGGTATGGAACTTTTTATTCCTTCCTCTGTGGTGCCCATTGGAGGCAAATCTCAGCCATGGTTTGGTCGCTCCTGTAAAATAGCATCATGCTATAAGCAGGAGTGCTACCGAGCCTGGGCTGACGCTTCAGCGTCCAGGGATGTAAACACCAGCGCTCTAAAAAAGAAGTATAATTCCGCCTCTAGGTCCTTCAAAAGAGTCATTGCCAAGGCAAAGTCAGAGCACATAGGCAGAATTGGCGAGAGACTAGTTCGTCTTCCTTCTGGAACCCGTGCATTCTGGTCTCTCGCCAAGGCTGTCCAGGGGAATTTCTGTCAGCCATCTCTTCCATCTCTGCACAGGGAGGACGACTCACTGGCCCACACCGCAAAGGAGAAAGCCGATCTTCTAGGCTCTTTCTTTGCGTCTAACTCGACTCTCGATGACGGGGGGGAGTACGCCGCCGACCATCCCGCGGTGTGAGTGCTCCATGCCGGAAGTGCAGTTCACTCAGCGCTCGGTTCGCAAAGCACTCCTCTCCCTGGACATCTATAAGTCGAGTGGGCCTGATGGAATCCCCCCAATTGTGCTGAGGACGTGTGCTCCAGAGTTGGCACCGGTTTTAACGCGTCTTTTCCGGTACTCCTACTCCCTAGGCGTAGTCCCAAAATCATGGAAGACGGCTTTCGTCCACCCGATCCCTAAAAAAGGCGACCGCTCAGACCCGTCCAACTACCGGCCTATCGCCATCACCTCCTTGTTCTCCAAAACAATGGAGTCCATTGTAAACTGCCAGCTCATGAGGTACCTTGAGGATCACCAGCTGATTAGTGACCGCCAATACGGTTTTCGCCGTGGTAGGTCAGCTGGTGATCTTCTGGTCTACCTAACTCACAGATGGGCGGAGGCAGTAGAGTCCAAGGGGGAGGCATTGGCCATTAGTTTGGACATTGCGAAGGCCTTCGATCGGGTTTGGCACAAAGCGCTTCTTTCGAAGCTCCCTTCCTATGGGCTTCCCGAGAAATTGTGCGATTGGATCACCAGTTTTCTTGCAGATCGGAGCATCAAGGTCGTTGTAGACGGTGCAAGCTCCGATTGCAAGCTTATTAATGCTGGTGTTCCACAGGGCTGCGTGCTATCGCCAACGCTGTTTCTTCTGCATATCAATGATATATTGCAAACCCGTAGCATTCATTGCTATGCAGATGACAGCACTGGTGATGCTCTTTACACCGGCCGAGCCAATATTTTCTGGAAAACGTCTCTGAGTGCCGGGACAAACTTGTGTCTGAAGTCGAGTCTCTGCTGGACAGAGTCTCGGATTGGGGGCGACTAAATCTAGTCCAGTTTAACCCCCAGAAGACACAAGTTTGCGCGTTAACCGCTAAAAAGAACCCCTTTGTCGTATCCCCTCAGTTTCAAGGCACTCCCCTTGTTGCCTCAGCCAGTATCGGAATCCTCGGCGTCGACATATCGAGTGACGTGCAGTTTCGTGGTCACTTGGAAGGGAAGGCCAAATTGGCCTCTAAAAAGCTTGGCGTGCTCAGCAGAGCGGGACAGTATTTCATGCCGGCACACCGCCTGCAACTTTACAAGGCGCAGGTTCGGCCGCTCATGGAATACTGTTCCCATCTCTGGGCTGGGGCTCCCCAGTACCAGCTCCTTCCACTTGACCGCATCCAGCGCAGAGCGGCTCGAATCGTCGACGACCGAGTGCTTTCCGATCGGCTCGACCCACTGGCGCTGCGAAGAGATGTTGCATCTCTTTGCGTATTTTATCGCATCTATCACGGGGAGTGCTCTGAGGAATTGTTCGGATTATTCCCAGCCGCCAAATTTCGTGAACGCACTACACGGCAAACGTCCCGATACCATCCACACCATCTGGATGCTTGGCGGTCCACCACTGTACGTTTCAAAAGGAGTTTTCTTCCGCGTACAACCTCTCTGTGGAATAATTTACCACCGGTGATTTTTCCGGACCGATACGACCTGGGGACCTTCAAGAAAAGAGCTTACTCCTTTCTAAAGGGCCGGCAACGCACCTGCAATTCCCCCTGGTGTTGCGGTTGATCATGGGCGGCGGTAGTCACTTAACATCAGGTGAGCCACATGCTCGTTTGCCCCCTCTTCTATAAAAAAAAAAAAAAAAATATAGAGAAGAATAATAGATATGAAAAAAAAGATATATATGCTCAAAAAGTATAGAATCTAAAATAATGCGAGATAATTATATGTTGTATTGCTATAATGCAAATTCTCTGCCACTTAAAAATATACTAGCATTAAGTGATTTTCTTTGTCATGTATATAAGAAAAAAAATTAATATTGTTTTGCAATATACATAGTTAAAGGTTTGTAAGTTTTGAAAAATAAACTTAAGAGTAAAGATTGTATTGCAGTTTTACATTCTCAACATAATGATGTAAAATTGTTAATATATTATTAATAATCGTTAATATACATTATTTTTTCTCATCTCTGGATGATGAGGATTCGATAAACAATCAAAAGTACTTATAAGTAAAATCGATCATTGAGAAAATTTTAAACAAAAGAATTAAGTATGAACACAAATTACAAAATGTACATAAAGACAGCATTCGACGATTTTGTAATAAAATTATTTTTATTAATTATTTTTAATGGTATAATTTAATAAACATTTTTAGTACGTCTTTATTTTATTTAAACTTTTTTCCTGTAGCTATTACCATAAATATGCTTTACTCGGCAACAACTAGGTATAATATATATTCCTAGTCATTGTTAGTTGATAACTTTAGGAATACAAATATAATTGTTGTCAACTCTAGTTACAGTCAGGAGACTGAGTAGAGTAACGTCAGTGTGGTAGGGCCATGCCGCAGCTATATCATGTTTGTAGCACGAATGAGTTGGCTCAACCGGGGTAAGTTTCGTGTAGTGAGTGTAAAGAACCGAAGACCCTTTTTACTGGAAATAAGGCATTCCATCTTAGTCCTCAGGGGTGACAACGCATCTGCATTGGGTGCTTGATGAGAGATAAATGAAGATGTCTATGAGCCGCTGCATCCACTTTTCATCAGGTGGATGACTGTGTGCTTGTCAACCTAGTTTTATTAAATAAATAAAAAAACAGTCGCATATTGATACAAACATTGCCTTGCCAGTTGCAGACACCGGTCGCAGATTGTCAGGGTTGAGCATCCGTACTGTCACATTTTAGTCCGCTACGGACCACGGTATGCGAATGCACCAAATTGGTTTGATAAAAAAGTTATCCGCTAGTGGTCCATAAGCGTGTTTAGGCTACTGTAGTTCGAACTTACAAATGTTATCATTGTGTTAGGCGTTAGTATTTTTGTATTTTACTAGAAATATTGTGATATTTGAAAATATATTATTCGTCCTAACATTTCCTATTTCCTTGTTTTGCATTACTTTGCTCGCACCACATTGTGCTTGCAATGCTATAAGAATCGAGTCAGAAATTTCACCCAAAAATTACTGGTTACCAAAAAGTAGCTTATATGCCGAGAATATGGTAGTGTGATCTGAAAGATTGCGCGTTAATATTCTGCCTCTAGGGAAATTTCACATCGTATATTCTTTATGTCTTCATCCCATTCCAACCTGCAGGTGTTTTAAAGTACGAGGAGTAAAGTGCGGTACGTGAACACAATTATTACAAAAAACCGAAAACTCAAACGAATCCTCACTCCTCACCAACCCGTCCGGCTTATAGTAAGATATGCGTATAGGCGTACCAGAAGTGGAGTATGAATAGGCCGTGATAATATTCAACAAAAAATATGTACCTATAAAACAAACCCGGCTTAATTCCTTTTCTATAAATCTCATACGTTTCCAATCTGAAAACTTATACATAAAATAGGAAAGGATGTTATATGACATATGTACAGTATCTTTCATATTGACACATTTCATTTAACGTTAATTTTGATCGATATCGATAAATTATTACGATACAACAATATTAATGCATACGTTGACAATCTACACACACAAAGACAATCAGTTTATAGTCTCGTTTGTTGGTTATAGTTGCCAATCCATGGAGCTTATACTAAATCTATGGATTTTTTACGTTATCACCATACCGTATGTGTTTAGTGCCAGTTTTTTCAAGCCATTAATAAAAATAGTTTTTACATGTTACAAGCACTCGCTTGTACTTGTTGCTTGACTACAACTCCATCTGGTGGTAAGTTTTGATGAAGACCTAGATAGTTAATCACACTGTATTATCGGCACAAAAGCTTATTCACTCTTGCTATTGTAATTAGAGGGAAAAATCTGCCTTTCAGATTATTCCACTTCTTTGCTATACGCATTTCAAAAGACGAAGCAAACCGTTTGGTTCAAATGCGTGAAATATCGATAACAAAAAAGTAAAGCTCCGCCAACCACTTAGTAACGCCAACTACCGGTAGTGAAAAAGGGAGGGAGGAATTAAGGCATGTACTTTCCTAAAATTAGGGCTGCGAATTTAAAAGTTCTTAGTTACTTACGTTAAAATACCACATGTATTTATCGGCGGGTGGGTTCGCTTTAACGTCACATTTTAAATGTAAAGGGTCGAGTTCAACAACTTCATTTCGCTTTTCATCATCAAGCTTCATTATTTCTACTTTTGGACCGACTGTAACAAGCATTTAAAGATCAAGCCTAAAAAATCAGCGTGTTTTATAAAATATAAAGTCAGTTTTAATGAAAACTTACAAGTTACATTCAAATTGATAACATCAGCTTTTGAATTTCGCTCCGATGGCATGATAGGGTTAACTGCTTCGCATGTTAGAGTAGCTTGGTTATCTGCCATAGTCGGAGTTATTTGAATAAATGAAATTGCGGCTTGTAGAGAATTGTCCCAAGTCTAAAATAGTAAAGATATTTGTCAATGTTAGTTTTGATTCTGCATGTCATTTTTATAAGAATTTATGTAAGATCTTAAAAATTATGGCAGCACGAATTGTATACTTTTTTTTTTTTAATTACTCACGTAAAACATACACGCACATACAAGCACACGTGCACGCGCGTACGCACGCACGGTTGCGCTATAATATCAAATACACTTTAGGGATTTGACGTTTTTCTTTTTTTATTCTATTTTAAATTAAATATCTATTTTAAATATATGGGAAATATGTGATTACGTTTAAGTGGTTTATTTATTGATGTAATAATAAAAATTCTAATAAATAAAATTAATAAAAATAATTTTTCTTATCCAAACACTTTTAGTGAAAATAGAAACATAAAACATTGTTAGTATTTAGTTATACTTTAGTAGAAGTATTTATTTGTGACAAATATGTATGCAGCGTGCGTCATTACACTAGTAATATATAAGTCAATGGTCATAACACGCTCCTTTAGCTAAATGGTAACGGCTTGTTTCACGCGACCCAGAAGGCCATACAGTTTCGTGAGCTTTATCAGATTCAAAATATGTTTTGAAAAATTCTACAAGAAAATCAGACGTTAGAACTAACCGGTAATGAATACCTGATTACTGTGCTTCTTGAGACGTTTGTTGTTTAGCCTCCAAGTTATATCAGGAGGTGGATGAGATCCGTACGCTTCACACTGAGCTGTCACCGTTTCACCTGATCGGAGAGCACCGTCCAGAGTTCCTTGAACCCATTGAATTTTCACTTGATTGGCAGGCACTAAAATAAGATATCTATGTTTTATATATTTTTTTATATACACATACATATACAGTAAAGTTAAGGGTTACTTTGACTCATATAGTTACTTACGAGTGTACCTATACTCGTACAATCCCTCGAGACAGAATTAAGGTTACCAGAATGTTGTGTTTCGTTTATACGTATATATATATATATATATATATATATATATATATATATATATATATATATATATAAAAAAGGGAGAGGCCGCTGATTCCTAAGATACAACTCGTCTAGTTTGGGCGTCAGAGACTTCAAAAATGTTGTGATTTATTTTTGATAATAAAGAATTATTATTATTATTATAAGCAAAAGAATAATTTCGGCGGTAGATTTCAAAAATTTTACGTTACAATGTCTAAAACCATAACATGGTTCCGAATACGTAACCGGTTTATTATTGGACGAAAGAAGATCTTAACACCGAATAAAGATTGTCAAATCTTGGGAGTTGCAACAATTTTACAAGAATAGTATGTAGTATATTTATACTGGCTTCTTTTAGTAGCGCCTTTTTTAATTAAATTAGATTTTTATTATTTTATAATGTATTTTTTATTATAAAAGGGAATGGTAACTATTCTTGTGCAATCTCTATAGAGAATAAATCATTAACAGGCTAAGCGTTTCGCTTAAATCACACAGTACGCGGGCAATCTAGATTCTATCTCTGCCGGCACCAATGAAATTGTTACTATATAATAATTGTTTATTGAAATTTCAAGTGCTGATTTATCACATCCTCAGTGGTGAAGGAAAATATCGTGATTTACTCATGTGTAAGGAATGAAATATTACGAGGACATATGAAGTCTGCCAACACGCGCACGTAGCACGAGCATGAGCAGTCTGCTGTCAATTTCTCCAAAAAACCTCTGAGAAGGCTTGTGTCCAGGTAATGAGATTTATAAAGGCTGTTACTTCATTTTTTTATTATTATTACGTGATATATATTTTTAAAATACGTACTAAAATCACTTACAATACAATTCTATTTGAAGGGAAGCTTCAAGCGCCGGTACTAAACGTGTGTTACTGGCTCTACACGATAGAGTCTCAGTGTTATCTCTTGTGAGTGGTAGATAAAGCTCATTTTGCCATACATTAGGTATGTCACTTACACTATACGTAGCATCAACTAGCGTTTCACCCGAATACCAACTTATCTTTGGTGGTGGGCGCCCTGAAAATGAAAACTTACTCAGGAATACGGTTCTTAATATATTTAGATTTTTCGACGTAGTAATACAACGATTGTAACATTATTTCATAATTAAAATTTGATGCGGCCCCTTGTTTCAACTCCCAAACATAGTAAAATATCTAAGTTACCTACAGCCAATCTTCAGCAATCACTGCAAGACTTCATGATACTATTGTAAGTTCGTTCTGCGTACATTAGACAAAAAATGCTATTTTGAAGTTAAAAAAAACCGGGATTAACTATGGTATGAGGATGTAAAACTTTTCAGTCTTCCCGTAACTATTATTGATATTATTATCATCATTGCAGTTTATTACAAGTCCAATACTAAACTTGTTCTACCCCGAGGAATGCCACAAGGCTGTGTCGTTTCTCATGGGACCCATAGTTGTACGCTTAACGTATATACTGTCCATCTAATGAATTTGTTACCCCCTTACGTTTTTTACGATAAATATTTGATGATACTGGATAGAATATATTCTTACTCCGCCACTACAAGGCAATGGTGATGTAGTGCTATAAATCACCCGAAAGGCTGAGAATTATAAAAAATTAAAATTTAACTCGATAAAATCCGCAAAATTAGCTTCATTCAAAATTGTCATAATGTTAACATAACATATAAATATTAAATTCAAAAGAATTCATTTATAAAATCTTGATAAATCGACTTCTTGGGGAGCTCCCCATCATATATAATATTTTCAATCTTGCGTCAAGGGGACGGTTATAAAGAAGCGGTAACAAGATCTTTTTAGCATTTCGCACAGTCGTCTGTTACATCATCTGCGACATAAATTGTTTCTGTTACAACGTAGAGGTGAAACGAAAATACATGACGTAATAATTTATAACATTTAATTAGTATTAAAAAAACACAATACCTCCAATAACCAGGCAACTTAGTACAAGCGTGTCGCCTTCGTAATATGGTCTAGTTTTATTAGTGACTGTATTTCCTAATTCATCCAAAAAGAAAGGCTCACTTGGAAGAACTGAAAATAAAAAGTGGTTGAAATACTTTAAATCAATCAAGCGCATGCTATGTACATTTATGCTGATATTCAGAAAAAATCTCGTGTATAATCTTAAATTTCACAATGTCGAAATTTTAGCGCAAACTCTAACACACTTATGGTGTAATTTTACATCACTGAGGGTTTTATACCACATTCAAATATTGGCAAAGAGGAGTTAGGGCTTAGCATAGAGATTTTTTTTTAAATAAAATAAGGGTGACAAACGAGCTTAGTGCATCTGATGGTAAGTAGAAGCTGTAGCTCATAGACATCTACATTTATCCTCGATTAGAATCAAAATGTAGATGCATTGTCACCTCTGAGGACTAATATGAATTCCTTGCTTTCAGTTATAAGTGTCACCGGTTATATACACTGACTATACAAAACACAGCAGCGTTAAGCTGCTATTTTACGCCGGTATTCTGTGAGAGCGGTAGTCCTACCCCGATCGAGCCGACACATTTGTGCTATAACCATAATATAGCTTCAGCGTGGCTCTACCACGTATTTTACCAATTTAAAACTTTAAATCGATTAAGTGAATGCTATCGCAATTGTTTCCGAATACATTCAGATTGGTACTCGGAAACAATTGCGAATATAACTACCTAATATCGGAAATTTGAGTGTAGACTCTAAAATAGCATGTACTTATTACATCATTTAGGGTATAATACCGTATAATAATATGATACAAATTGTGACAAACAGAGTGGCGTTGGAGCTTAACAAACATAAGTATATGTCGAGGACTTAAACTCGAGATAGTCTCCAAATGTGTCATTGCGTGCCATTAGCCATCCTCCTAACCCGTCTATCTTAATTATTTAATACGTTGTTCGTAGCAATTAGGGATAGCAATTTTTTTAAACTTCCATTTTTTTAAGAATGTTAATAGATAGCGCAAGTATGACTTTTTTCTTTCAATTAACTATCATAATTATTTTCAGATTTTTCTTAGCGATATTTTTGTAGATACGTTAAGAAAGAATAATATAAAAAATTTGTCACCAAAAAAAAAATTCACATTTTTAAAATCTTGCTACAAAAAGCTGTAAATTCATTCCCAACATAATAAAGTAAATCACTTTCAAATTAAATTTAAACAACCAAAGACGAAAATTTATATTTTACACCACACGCGAATATTTCAGTTATTTATATTTCTGTCGCAAACACCAAATACAAGGCACACAACACTAAAAAAAGTATACTGAATTAGTTTTCAATTATTACCAGTAACAGTAAAATTAACTCCAGTATTCCTGGTAGGTGACAGGAGGAACTCCACTCTACAATGATAGAAAGCTTGATCGTCTTCTCTCAACGCTGAGATGGTCAGGGACGTGGGATTTTTGTCCATATCGGCAATTACTCTACCACTCACATTGAATGCAATGTTTGACCATTCGCTTCTCACGCGAGCGTCGTAACTAGGAAAAAATTACATGTCTTAGTTTGAAATATAACAGTTGGTAAATTAGATTCAACTTTATACGAAATAATACCTATTATACTTTGATGAATAAGTTAAAATAAATCACTACATATTAACTAAAGAAATTTAGTATAAAATATGAAAATACGTTTGTTATTATATCGGACTTATTATGTTACTTGTACGACATCGCCAAATAAGGTAAGCAAAGGTACTGTCTAGTACCTTTTCTTAAGTTTTTTACGTTACCGTGCTGCCCAGAAAATTTGACCATATCCACCTCTCGAACACGCACTCTGAACACTTATCGAGCAATACCCTCGTACTAATGTTGCTGCTATCACTGTGTATGTGGGATTTGTTTGCCTCATTGGTCTAGTGGTTGAAGTAATGCGATCGCTGATCATAAGATCATCCTGGGTTTAAATCCCCGGTCGGGCCAAAAAATCAATTATTGAGTTTTTCCGTCAAGAAATTATCAGAGAAACCGCCAACGTTAGCATTGGCAACCAAAAACAAAGATGGCGGTTTCTCACCCCCGTGCCTCGGAAAGCACGTAAAGCTGTTGGTTCGCGCCTGATCTCTCTCTGGTTGTGTCGGTTTACCATCCCATCGGATTATTAGGGTGGGGGAATAGAGAGTGCACCTGTGCTTGCGCATACATTTGGGTATATAATCCTGTCATGCAACGATGGCTAGTTTCCGTTGAGGCTGGCCGCTGTGACCGAATTACGATCTGGAGGCCATTATTATATGTGGGATTGGGGTTTGGTTTACTTGGGATAATGGTATAACAGTAGAAGAGTAGAGTAAAACTACAGCTTATAATTTCCCTACAGTTGAGCACAAATCTCTTCACATTTCTAAAAAAAGGGTCTTAGAACAAGAAAATACGAGTTTTCACGGCGCTGCTCCGATGCGTGTAGCCGGACTTCACATGTCTACGAAATGTTTAGATATGAATTTTACTTTTTCATTTTACTTTTTATTACATTTAACTGTAAAACGAGCAGTTTTGTACATCGTGAAGCCTTTTTACATACATAAATTGCTTGTAAAGAAACATGGTCATACAAATAGTTATTGTTCCTAGTAGGGTTCGAACCCATGGTCCACTGCGCTGCTTAACCATAAAAATGTATACAATACTTTTAAAAATTTTAAATGTGTAGGTACAATTATACTTTTATTACATTTCATTTAAAAAAAGTTAATTTAAAGCGCTCCCACTCACGAAACTTTACATTAACCTTTTACATTTATTCTATTCTAAAAACTTACGAGGCGTTTCACCTACCTGTAAATTGACTCATTATCCTTATACCACACTAGAAGCATGAGTTCATCATCGCTTGTATCCGGCGTTGCGTCGCAAAAAAATGTCGTATTCCCATTTTCTAAAGCCTCATGAAAGGTTACTGGACCTAACGCACGTAAAATATGTTTATCTTTACTCCTGAACGTAAGAATAAAAGTTCAAAAGTAGAAAAATCATTTTAAAAATACTTATACATTTAAATGTTTTAGATAATTGCATAAAATATTATTTAGTATATCTACAGAGAAAATTTTTGTAACTTAGTGCTGTGAGTTGACCTTCGAATGTCGGGCATTTTGGCCAATACTCTGTCGAGCACTTTCCGAAGTACTAAGTAAGTATATAACAAGTATACTAAGTATAAAATATAAAAATGTATATATTAAAATTATATATCAATGGAAACGTTATTAAATAAGCTATCAGATTATGCATAACAGATATATATGTTATATATATATATATGTATGTATATATATATATATATATATATGTATGTTATATATATATGTATGTTATATATATCATATATATGTTACAAATAGTTTGCTATCACTCGACGCCATATTATGGCGTTTGTCATATGCGCATTTTGTTTGAGACGCCAGAATATAGCGTTTGGACACACGAGGGAAAATTTAATTAGGAAAATGCGGATCTGTTGTCACCCCTGAGGACTAAAGAAGTGACTCGTTACTTTGATGTTTTTTCTTACTGTACGAAACACTGAAAGTATAGCTACTATTTTACGCTGGTACTATCTTCTGTCCCAAGTCGAGCAAATCCATTCGTACTTCAGCCATAATACTGTTCCGGTGATGTAACATTATAGAATAAAATGTATCTATAAAAATTGATACCTGGGTGAACGAGCTTTGCTTGGTGTTAAAAAACTAATTTTATAAGAGATGGCACCTGTCCAACTGGACAGGTAACTAAACTTAGTAAAACATTATCCACAAATAAAATTTCTTCATAAGAATTGCTCTCTTGAATTATAAGATAAGTAACAATTTTTTGACTTACGAATTTTGAAAATTTTAGTTTTTAATATTAAAAAGGAGAAAAGTAAACTTACTTTTTGCAAGTTAACATTACTTGTTGATATGCAAGCTTTGAATAACACCAGTTAGGACGTTTTTAGATTTTACATAAAATATAACGTTTAAACTTTGAAAATGTATAATTTCTTATGTTTTATATGAGCATTTTTGGACGTACAAAGCATGTGATACTTGTTTTACTGGAAAACTATTATTATCCATATATTATGATCAACGAAATCGTATATATGATATATATATATATATATATATATATATATATATATATATATATATATATATATATATATATATATATATATAATGCGATACCGTTATTACGTTAGTATTGTAAAAAATCATAACTTACCATCAGCGCCAGCGACAAAGGCGGAGACAGGGCAGTAGATTAAAATGACGACCAAAAGCAACGCCTCAGCGACGCGCATCCTACGGTCCATCCATACTACTGCGCTCCCTCTTCATAGGTTTAATATTTTAGTTGATATCATTTTTAAATGATAGTAGAAATCCTATGTTCACCGCCGTATAAGTTGCAGATTGTTCTGTTGTGTTGCAAAATTAAAAATATTATTACTTTAAAAGCACGTCCGTGTACATTTTAATATAATTTTTACTCCTTTTTATTGTATGTAAATATATTTAGAGTTTAACTTTGAGTGACATAGTTTGAATAGCACCACCCACCCTCTAATATGTGATAGTTTTTACTACTATCACTTCAAAAATCACTAACGACATCACTGTATAGCGATATCACCACGCAATATGTATAAACGAGTGTTTCGAACGAGCTGTCAGTCCACCTGATGGTATGCGGCTATCGTAGCTCACAGATACCTGCAACCAACTTTATACAAAGAAGGACACAGATGCGTTGTAACTCTGGAGGACTAAGACGTAACACCTAACAGCCTGTTAATATACAAAGTAGGTGAGACGTTAGTACCAATCAAAATAGACTCCTAGAAGAAAAAAAGTCCCCTCCTGGGAAACAAAAACATACAACTAAAGTCAAAAATGCGACACTTGTTTCACCTTACCACGAAGCATCACAGGGAAACAATGTTTGAGATACAAGTTTTCAGACGGTTACAAACATCACGTAGATGTTCACTTACATAAACAACTCAAATAAAAGGGGTGTTCGGAATTATTTGCAAGCGATTTCCAACTATAATTATAAGATACTTCTCTTCACGAGATCTCAAAAAATATACACCCCATTAACTTGAAATTTAGTAAGGATTTTACGATAGTCCGATCAAAAAATATTCCTGATATTTTACATCTAGCTATCGCAATAAAATATTATCGCCCACCCAGCGAAGCGAGCGGGTATCAGCTAGTAGTATTATGTAAATAGTATGATGCGACGAATTTGTAAGCAAGTATTTTTAGTATATGCCATTTTTAAAGGCTGGTTCATAAATTATTTTTCATATGTGTAAAGATGTGAACAGTGTAGGACGAACATAGAGACATATAACTCCATTTTGTTCATCTGTGCTAACGTTTTACTGTATGTTTTATAACGGCTGGAGACAATACACGATGCTTTATACATTTGTGTGAACGCTGATTTAAAAGTGATCTTTTTCTTCTCCATCAGCCCGTTATGTTTCACTTGTGAAGAGTCTTCCGTTTTACGGCGGATTTGTTTTAAGTTTTTTTAATAGAATAACAGTGACAAGCGACCACACAGTCCACCTGATGGTAAGTAGATGCTGTGGCCCATAGACATCAACATTTATCCTCGATTAAGAATCAAAATGTAGATGCGTTGTCACCCCTGAGGACTAAGACGGAATGCCTCGTTTCCAGTTAACATGTTATCCGGCGTGTAGCGCACTCACCAAACGAAACACAGCAGCATCGAGCTGCTATTTTACGCTGGTATTCCGTCCTACCCCGGTCGAGCCGACACATTCGTACTACAACCGTAAGACGTACCAAGTCATCCTTCCAAAAAAGCTATGAATTTAACTAACAAGATTAAAGACCATATTATTTTTCTTTACCAATAGAGGGCCTATGAATTGACAGAGAGGAAATTGGTGAACTACGTTATACGGTCGTCAACTTGTAAACAAAAAAAAAAAAAAACAACAACAACAGTACATCACGAAAAGTACTCTGTGACTAATCGAACATCCGCTTTGGTTTTTGTTAGAAGTAACGGTGCTAAGCCAAAAATATTCAAGTGACGGGTTATTATATACTTACATATCTGCATATCAGGAACCTGAGACTTGATCCTATCGTCACCACCATCATCATTTTTAGGAGTTGATTTTGCAGCTAATTTATTTTTCTTAGTCAAACTTTTTTATTTTCTAGATATAATTCTAAAGTGAGACACAGAAATAAGACAAAAGCCGGACACACATAAGGTACGAGACCCTATTTTTCGTAAAGTCGTTTGTATTTGCGATAATTACATTTCTCTGTACATATGTTTGTCAGTGAACTTTTCCTAAACAGCCGTACCTATTTTGATAATTTTATGTGTATGCTTGAATGTTTCTCTGGGTGGTTTAGATTTACAATTTGACCCGATAGGCGGCGCTACCATCTAGATTCAGAAATCAGAAATCATGGGTTTGATTTTGATGATTTGGTATACTTTAAATTGACGACCGCTTCATCTAGTGGTCAGATTACTTGGTTATTACATTGTGTGTTTAGGTTCGCAACTTAGCCAGAGACAAAATTTGTGCAAAAGACGGGTTGCGTTCAGAGTTATTTAATATCCGCCATGTTTCTGTCAACATACATTTAACGTATACGCTTAGTCTACCTCTAATCTTATGCTATGATTGTTACAATTTTGGTTTTATTATCTCATGTGTATTTACATAGTCGACCAGGTGCCTCTAGTGTTGTCGCTCCGCACTGCTAGAGCCAAAAATGTCATCCCTACCCCTATTTATGCATAAACCTTAATTTGTATAAAAGATAAGTAAGTCTTGCATCAAAAGTATAAGCTATTGTTTAGTATTTTTTAAGAATTTCACTGGTATAATTTAGAAAGTTTGTGCACTGCAGCGCATTACTGCAATAGGCATTTACCATTAGATGATCAGTAAACTCTAAAACTAGGTACCTCGAGCGATGTCACGTCTCTCATACAGTTCCATACAATACAACTATTGTCGTAACACACACATCACGCCTTCGTCAAACTCGTCAAGTTAACAACTTTATTTACTTTTTAATATATAAAGGTATTAAAATCATTGAATAGCTTTCTTTATTAAAATAGGGTGCGCATTCCATGTTCGAGTGTTCAAATATTACGTTTGATTTTTTATAAAGATTTTCTCTTCTATCGTGGAAGTCTTTTACATAGGTACTTAATTTGCGGATTGACAAAATTCCAGACATCGAATTTGCATCATAGCAGCGTTGCGACCAAAGTTTAGGCGGAGGCACTTTGATATGCCCTACGCTATCGACAACTTCGAATTCGAAATATTATATATATATATATATATATATATTGAGAGGCTCATAGCTGTTGTTGTAGTCAGCCAAAAGAATTTAATGGTATAGAAAGATTTTTAAGTATGAAAAAGCTTTCTTTTTCGAGTTCGCCATTAGACTATTATCAGGCTGTCGTAAACCACTCCTAACACAACCATATTAAGCTCACCAGGAAAAGTTATTTATTAGTAGTTAAAAATGTGGGATACCAAAAAATTTGCGTATCTGAAGGGAGAACCTGATAGGCAATAAGGTGGACCGTTACGAAATATTTCTAAGATACGCACGATACGGTATAAAAGTATTTTCATATTGAATTAGAAACCCCAAATTAGAATTATTAAAATTTGGCTTAGTTGGTTATTTAACTTTTACACATTATAACTTATGAAAACCCATTGCTGACATAAGCCTCCACCATAGATTAAAGCAGGCATATGGGGGGCGTTGCTATGATCGCCACGCTTGATAAGCGATATACCAACCGTAGTTTTTTATTATTTTTTATTGTTATCATGAAGATGTTGCTGTTTATGACCTTTCAGTTTCCCTCTGTCGCCTCTTACGACACCAGCGTGCTGATGCTGGTCATCTCCTGTTACAATTTCCCACTGTGGTGTAGTGGATTCTATATCACCGCCAGTAATCGGCATTACAAATTATGTAGTAACTAAAACGAACACGTTTCACGAAAAACGTTTTTGTTTAATCTTACTTGAATAACATTACGAAAACCGATGGCCGAAATATGGCTTAAAACTTCAATTACTTACATTTACTAGCCATCTGCTGAGTAGGTTTTTATGGTGCTTGCATTCTTCAAAAGGTCTATGTCCAGAGGTGGACTAAAAAAGCTATTGATTTGTTGTGATATTAATGCTATTGTTGTAATATGAGGCTATCTATACAGATAACTAATTTAAAGTCAAGCCCATATTAACGCTACGACCTTAAAAGGAATAAACGTTATATTCAATATATATATATATATATATAATTGGCAACATCCGCGAATAACCGCACATATTTGTAGAATTTTATTTATCCACAATAATATTCAAGCATATTATAATATTCGATACGGCGATAATTCATATAAGTTGTCAAACTTTGAGTATATTTAGTTGAAGTATTGTTATTCATAATATCAATTAAGATATCTTTTAAACATTACAAAATTTAATTATTAATTTATTAATCGATAACTGTATTAAATTAAAACTTTTAACTTAATACTAAATATTCCTGTGCATTTTCCATAAATGTACAAGAGTGTTCTATTAATGTTTCGACTCATTATTTCAAACCAAAGACCTACAAACTTTCAAAATAAATGATAAAACTATAATATTTGAGTTCTTCCAAATAGTCTTGATCAACTACCAATCTAATTAAAATAAAATTAAACTGATCTGTTAAACTGCCAACGTAAATTACTTAATCATAACCAAAAATACTCACGTGCTATAAATATTTTATAACTTCATTAAAATATTTGTGTGCTTATTTCTTTCCTTCTCAGATAAATTTAAATTTAAAACCAGTCCACTCAATTAAATGTTGAATTATAAATACTCACTGAAGTAACAATTAAAACACAATTCTTTAAACACCGCAAATAAAATAATCGTCCAGCCACAAATAAAAACATTTAAAACTTTCCAAGTAATTTTGACTCATATGCATACGTAAATTATCCGGATAATAAAGTGTATATACACCGTGGTTATATTGAAAGAAATTACGTGGCTCGAAAGACTTGTAACTATTACGGAAATGTCCTATAGCGTGTAGAGTGGTGTAGAGTCCGTAACGCACTGAACAACTACCTACGGTGACGTTGACTAAACGAAAACCGGTCGTTGGAAATTGTACTTTATAAAGACGTGTATTTGGTATCGGTACAATATCCATTTCCGAGCTTTTATTTAAAAAAATTGCAGCGTTTATTCCG